TTTATACTCGAAGAAGGCTTATACTTAGGTTTTGAAAAAGTTTCCTAATTGCCGAATAATGTGGAGCCCGATCAGTCGTTGCATTAGCGGTTAGAGATTTCAGTCTACAAGGTGCATGCACTCCGCGTAAAGAAAATTAAATATTCTTCTATGCCTTAAGAGAGATATTATATAGAGTCCAGAACATTCTGCAATGGATGCGGACTATGTTGTACGTTTCTTGAGAAGCAGTGATAAACGGACAGGTAAGACGCTATATGAATGGACATTGCGCGGTCTCAGAAATCCCATAATTAGAAACATTTTTAAAACCTAATTATACTCCTTCTTCGGTTATAGAATATAAAGGTGACGTGATTCTTCATCAAACAACTGAAAGAAAGCATATTTTTTGTTCGGGGTTCCTATAAAATATATTTGAATTTACAAGTCCATCGAAAATCAATGGGAAAAATAAATGCCAATTCAATAGTCATTTTTACCGAGTACGGTTTCTACAGGAGATTGAAAAGCTGTGTATTTAAATGTTGACATCCTGCCGAATCCGAAATATTATAGCATTATGTCGCAGGATAATCTTTATTGCAACCGCGCCTAAGTAATCCTTTTTTAACTGAAAAGGAATTTCAGAATTTCAACCAACGTTTTTTAGGAGATCGGTTATTTACTGTACGTCCACTCGGTGGCACTCCACGCACGATTTCCGGTCGATTACCCGGCCGGGTAGTGTGTGGGTGCACAGGTTGACAACGCTCGAGTGAGAAAAACAGGGTAGCCAACTACTGAAAGATTGGGGCAACCAAAAACCCGCTCTGACTATGGGGTCGGACATGAAAATATCGCTACTGGAGAACAAGAGCGTGTGTTACAGACTCATCAAATATTGTCCCCTCGCATCACATCACCAGCGAGATTTGTGGCCTAAATATTATTTATTCCACGTGTCGTCTTTTCTTTTTCGTAGTTTGAACATATTAAAAAACGTGCAGTGGCCCTCCAGTGTACGAGGTGATAATTCTAATCGCTCTGCTTGAACGCCGGGCCCCCACGCAGGCCTGTTTATTTTGAAGTAGCTTCCGCTTATGAAGACACCAAATGTTATTCCAAAGCGCTTACCCATCATAAAAACACTCACAGGCTCCAGTTATGTTAGAAAAGAGAAACACACATGCTTTTTGCCTTCATAATTTGATGTCGCTTATGAGTTGGTCTGAAGATTGCTACCATGTCTACTTAAGAGAATCCAAGACAAACTACTGAATGCATAATTATTTCCTAGGAGGAACTATTCTGAGCAAATATTCTTGGACAAAATCGCAGCTGACCCACATTTTGACTGCTTGATCCACAAATAACCGGACACGAGCAAACGATATCAAAAACTAGATCTTTGAGGAAGGAATGCCGGCACAGACAAAGGAGACGTGGGTGTCCATTACTGGCAGTCTTTAGCCAGCCACATCCGACACCAATACTGCGGGATCCAAGATCCGAGCGCGCATTCTTTTGTCATTGAACGTCTTTAAGTCTGATGCTGTCCGACTGCCTGCGGGGATTCAGACTGAGCCTGAAGGGGCGACAGGTTCGGCATGTCCCGTAATTCGATCGGTGACCGGACTTCCCACGATAATTAGATCTCACTGGACTTGCACTAGGCCAAAACGGTGGCAGGCATCCTTGGGCTGTGAACCCACAACGACCGCCGTTCATGGCGAGGTGCGGTAGCAGGCCTAGACGCAGTCTCACGCCGCGCCGGTCAGCTGCGCCAGATCGTGCCTCCGGGCCCAGGCGGGAGAGGAGGATAGAGTGTGGCAGATGCTGAGCAAGTCTATTATCATTGTAAACTAATTCGCACTCAAGTTACCGTCCCTACGCCCAACCTCCTGTGGAGCACGTGATGGTCACTGTTGGTAACGATGGTCGAACTGTCTTATATCTTTAAAGAAGATGAACACGCGATCTCTGGGACAGTAGGTGTAATAGTCTGAGCTTTCGGTCTCGTACAGGAGGCCATCGTCAGAGACTGTAAGAATGAGGTATCAAATGAGCTCACCGCGAACACCACTCTCTGCACTTATATCCCCCCTCTTCATGGCTTGACTACAAAAACTGCTCATTTGATACCGCATTCTTACAGTCTCTGACGATGGCCTCCTGTACGAGCCCGAGAGCTCAGACTAATACACCTACTGTCCCAGAGATCGGGTGTTCATCTTCTTTACAGCAAGAACTTGGGATTCGCATATTCGCTTCCATCCGTGTCTTGTGTCTTTTTGGCTCTATCTGTGCTTCGAATTCTCTCCTACTTAAATTATTTCACTAGAACAGTGAATACTAATTATTTTTACTTCTTTACGGCGCAGTCACTTCGGGGAATTTGGCCAGAGTTGGGCTGGGTCACCATTTTACAAGCTTAAAGCTCCCACCCTTCATCTGGGTCAAGGGATCAATTCAGGTAATAGTTCAGATTAGTTCATACGCAACAGTCTGACTGTTTCAAGCTACGACCTCCACCGCCAACCCCAAGGAGTGAACGTAGCGATGACTCGCGCGTGAATTCGTTTATCGTGAGGCGGAATTGAGCAGCATCTGCCACACTCTCTTCTCCCTTATCCACCTTGCTCCAATAAAAAGACAAAACCACGACGACTGGATGTGGGAATGAGCGAAGTGGCTGCGAAAGCCAGGCAGCCCGTTTGCGCATGCCACGAAATACCCGCTCCGACTCTACCAGATTTCAGTAAGGGCTGCTGGTACCTCACTCGACTGACGATCTCATAGTGGCCACATGCAAAGGAAGCCATTGCAGCCTGGCTATTTGTCTCCTTCACCACCAGTCCACCAGTCAGCAACTCCTCACAAACACACACATGACTGGCGGTGAGGTTTGATTCGTATCGTCAGTTTGCAGCCTTCCAGGCCATCATCACCACCGCCATTTCTACCAGCTCAGCCCCGACCTGTCTCTATTGCGACCATACCTTCGAGTCATGCATCAACCTGGTCGGTCATTTGCGAATCCATCGCATATGGATAGGCGAGCCAGCACCATGAGCCTCGCCGTACACTCGTCACACACGCCTGACCCGCCCACGCTGCCCCAGGAGGACATTCAGACACCGGATGGGTTTTTTGGTCAGATGCGTATGCACAGTGCGATTCGCTGGAATGTCCCCACGACCCACCTACCTCCTGCACCCGAAAAACTTTCTACAATCAGCACCACTATTTCAAATACCAGCGACGCCTCTAATAATTACGCTGCCACGAACACTATCTCCTTTTGCGTAGGCCTACCCTATCGTTACCGCCAACACACATTTGAACCACATCTTGGCTTGGTCGGTTAGTTACGAATTCGACGCAATAAAAGTTCTGCAAACCGGAATCAGGAGCCCCGTTATACACCCGTCATTCTCGTCTTCAGTGTCAGACTATTTAGCTGTCGGCCATTTGCGTCCAATCCCTGCATCAGGTAACTGAACGGCTCGGACGGCAGACTGGTCCCTAGGAGAGTGAAGAGGGATTGAGGCTAAATTGGGGAATCCGGCTCACGATACTCAGCGCATATTCTGCACTCTAAACAATCTGATGCGCTTTTAAACTGTCACGATACCGTAACAGCCATGAATTATAAGGTTGCTTATTGAGGAAACGACTCAGACTTCACAGTCAGCCCTGTGTCTATGTGGAGTGATCGGATCGTGGACTCAATGTGACACCTATGGCACTCCCATCCAGGTGGGCTTCGAGCCGTAGCCATCTCCTTTCTGCAAAAATCTGGTGCCTCACGCGTACGGCACGCGTAGACGGATCCTTTAGTCCTTTCAACGACTACGTCTATCTCCGACCTCCGCTCTTCCTGCCTTTGTGTTTGCACCGGTCCCAGGTGGGTGAGAGAGGAGTGGGTGCGATAAATACTGTGTAAATTTACTTTCACTAGAAATGAATTCATTAGCAATTTGCGGCCCCTACGCCCACCATGCTCTGGGGCACCCGGTGGATATCATTGTCCGCGACGGGCGCACCGACGGATTTTGGTAGGGTAGTAGGAATGCCCTCCTTGATGACATTGGTGGTGGTGGTGGTGGTGGTGATGGTGGTGGTGGTAGTGGTGGTAACTGTAGTGATGTTTCGCTAAATGAGAGACGTTTTGATCGTGTTTACACTACACTGAGTCTAGCGAGGTCCATCCGTTCCCATAATGTTCACTGACAAAAAGGGGCACAATGACACAGTCCGAGTACTTGTGTTGTCTGCGATATAATGTCTCGGCAGTAGCTACTCGGCAGCGGTCGCCCCAGCTTCCAGTACTCAACGTCTAGCGTATAGCCTTGACGATCTCTAGCAGCGAGGGCAGGCGGTCGAGAGCCTTCATCTGAGGAGCTTTTTAATGACCTCATCGGGTATTGTGGATGGTCGACTGAGGATGCATCCGAAGTGTTCGTTGGTTTGGCAACCGCAGACCTTCCTGAGAGACGCGAACCTTTTCATTTTATTGCAACATGCCATTCTCTTTGGAGAGAGGACTGCAGATTTACTCGTTGTTTTCATTAAACCTGCTCCTGTGCTGACTGCTTGCGCAAACGAGCAAATCCAGGACAGTGAACAAAATGGCCTTCAGCAGTCGATTCCCGTGAATCTCACCAATGATATTCGTTCCCCGGAGATTACATTGGTTCCAGACGTGATTCCGGGGATTGTGAAATCAAAACGATACTCGGTCGTATCCAATAATATTTGACTTATCTGGTACCCGCTTACCTTGTGGTTTCCTTCGGGGCTGCTGCCTAATCCTCAAGGTGTCCAGGCAGTGATCTGTCCAGCAGTATGCAGCACACATTTCCTTAGACACTAGGACGTAGTCCAGCAACTGCCAATGATGTCAGAGAGGGTGTATCCACGTACTCTTCTCTGGGATCAGAAAGTGGAAGAAATTGCTGGTCAGTTGAAGATTTTGTTTCGTACAGGCCTGCAAGAGGCGACTACCATGGCCGTTACAGCTACTGGTCCTGTAATGACCGAGGACTCCCGCTCCGGTATCGTGGTCTCTGTCTACGCAGGCGTTGAAGTCACCGTGGACAATCGGTTTGTCCGTCGCCGGCACAGTCGCGAGGAGGGCGTGCAGGTCCTCGTAACATTTGTTCTTCAGGCCATCGGAGTCGATCACGGGGGGTAGGGGAGGGGGGGAGGGGGGGCAGAGGGTAGGCACTGGCGAGGATGGCAAATTTGTTTCTTGCATAGTGACAGACATGGTGTCATGAGAAGGTCGCCCGCGGCAGGCAAAGCAGTCGTCTCATGATTTCGTTCCTGAGAGCAAAGCGACCCCAGCATTTTGTCGCTCACATCTCCCAGTCGTCCCTTCTTGGGGAAACAGGTCTCGTTGAGAGCGGATAAGTCCGGCTTTTGGTTCGCCAATTCCCGGAAGACCAAAACTGGCTTACCTTCTTGAACGTTTATCGACAGATAAGCTAAAATAGAGCGGACATCCCGGACTTTGGCGGCCTTTGGGGAGGCTCGGGAGTGGGGATAGTGGTTTTGTTTCGTATGTTTCCTAGGCCGTTTATTTAGGGTATACGGGTCACGGAGAGATTTCAGGCGGCGCAAAGCAGAATTGCTAAGTCATATTAGACGGTCGCCGAATACCGCTATAGATCAAGATTCTTGCGAGAATGACGACCTGAATTGGCCTCGGCCGCCACCATTTCGCTGTCATCCACTTCGAAAGACTTTGTTGGGGAATGGTGGGACGGTGGTGGGGACTGGCGCCGGGTTCCCACATCCGGTTTAGCCCACCGCTCAGGACGCTTACCAGGATTGTGGCCGCCATGGTCATCACTACGTTGGGGCTCTCCGTATGAGCTGGGTGCCAGCTAACTGCATTTCGGAGTAGTTGCCATGCGCACCAGGCTCACGGAACGATCGATAACATTATTACTCTGTATCCCGTCACCGAACATCCCTAACATCCCTTCTCACTGCTTAGAACAAGATTAGTCAATTTTGAAGCCCTGGGTGTGATGAGGGCATAGGTTTATAGAGCTTAGAATGCATCTAAAAATTGAGATCCGTGACAAGATTGTTGCTTTACAACCGCCAGGCATCACTCGGGAGGCCGGCTTACTTTGAAGCGTGAAGTCAGGTAGATTTGGACTCCCTTAAATGTATCTGAAACCTGGGCTAATATGAAAAATGCGTTCCCCAGGAAACATTCGCACAACGCAAGAGTTTAATAAAACCCGATGTTACATTACGGCGGAGGGCAATTTAAAGGCCGACCGACACAATCATGCCGTTTCCCGTGGGAAATAACTGGCAAGGGATTTAAAAGATAGGAGATAAGAAATGGCGTTTAACTACTCGTTTAATTAGCCTCAGAGGGATGGGGGCATGTCGAGGTGCGATTCCCACTACATCAGCCATCTGCGCCCTCTCCTGCCTCCCGTCTTCTTGATACTGGGCCCAGGTGGGAGAGGAGGAGAGGGTACGTTAGATGCAGCGCAAGTCCATGCTCAGTTCACTGTACCCGCGCCTACCTTGCTGTGGAGCACACGGTGGACATCGTCAGAATCCATGGTCGAACTGTCGTAGTTAGCCCCAAATCGCAGGCCAAACAAAATATGAGAAGTGAGAAATTCAAAAGGCAATTTGGTAAGCATACGTTTGCTTTCGATAAATTCTCTTCAGGTCTGTACGTTTTTATGGCTATTGAAGTAATGAATTAAAAGATACGGGCAAGTAGACAATTATGTTGTAGCTCGGGTTTGGAGAGGGGGACAGTGACTTACAAGGTCCCGTTAAGCTATCCAGAACTACTTGGGCAGCGCCTGTTGGCTGCGGTAGAGGCGGCTGCATTCACGCTAAGCGGACCGGTCCTATGCGCACAGGAGAACTTCATACAGGTCTCATACAGGTCCAAAGCCACCAAGCCAGCCACCCGCATATAATTACCTTCCCCGGGGCTCGCTTTCTCCCTGGCGCTGACTGGAATTTTGGTGTTTCACTCTCTCCGCCCCCAAACCCGACCTACAGCCCGTATCTTTTAATTCATCACTCCAATGGCCAATAGTCAGACCTGGAGAGAATTTATCGAAAGCAGACGTATGCCCGCCAAATTTCCTTTTGAATTTTTCAATGGGAATTTTCGAAACTCTAAAACAATCCAAAGAAGTGAGAAAATTGCAGCATTGTTCCGCAACTTGTTTTTTCTCGCTGATTTTATTTCGGCAAGTGTAAATTCTTTCTGTCGACCGGCACAGGGCTTGCCAACGAAATGCTAGAATTATCGGGGCCAACAATCACCCTACATCAACCACCAGTAAAGCCTTGTAACACAGTTTTCTCTCTTCTCAGGCTGGTCGCCGAGTGATTGACCGATCTCGACCTCCGAAATGCGGAATAAAACTGGAGGAAGTTGATACAGAGGACTCCACGGAGGCTAGCGAATATGCCTATTTCTTCACTTAACTACACTCCTTACAGCCCCGAGGAGTTTTCATATTTTAAATCTGTAGGTTTTTGCACTTTCTGGTAGCCCCGAACGCTCTGTACATGCTTGGACTTTTATCTTCCCTGGTTAACGATACCGGCTCTCGTTATTTTCTTAAAACAATCGCAGCCTGCTAAGGGGACCGAACACTTCTTTTGCTTTTTGGCCTTGGTGGTCTGCTCCCTTAAAAAACTCGTGCGCAGGTGTTTGAATCGCCAGTTGTTGACAATTTCGCATTGTGGGTCTGAACGGCTGGCATCTGTTTCTACTGCCGATTGTAGTTTATTTGGCCTCATATGTGCAGGGATCATGAGATCAGGAGCCAAACGTTTTACCATCCGTTGTTTTGTCTCAGATCATTTAGGGTTTTTATTTGATAAATTATAACGCGTTTGAGACAGTGACCGTGATCTGATGAGTAGACAGCTATTTTCTATTTACTAGAACCAGGAGTATTTAAAAATTGCTATGTCAGAAAGCTTGTGCTCTGAGCCAGTAGGGAATCGCCGGCTACCGAAATCCGCGTAGGGTGCTCTACCTTTCAGAGCATTCAGAAGCAGTCCCCCGGCGGTGGGAATAATATATTTCTCACCTTCTGACTGGTGGTGAGAGCCCAGTAGCTCAGTAGGTAAAACACCCAACACGAATGCTGGGCTTTAGCTGTTTGATCCTGCTTTAAACCACTCACTTTCTGGTCGGGTGGCCCTCTGAGGGCCTATCCCAAATAATTTACTGACGTCTCCGTCTCAGGCTTACGAGCGGATGACGCCCTCTCAGGATTAAATTAACATGTCTCGCGAGACGTTCCGACATCCATTTCTCGAGAAAATAAGCCTTTGATTTCATTGGGCGTCCTGGAACTCTACTGAAAACGTCTAATCCGGTTTCTTGACAAGAGCCAGTTCTAAGGTTTTTATTTTTAGTATTTATTTGACACCGACAGGCAGGAAAAAACAGGGCCTGCGACGACACCGAAGTTAACACAGTGGTTTAATGATAGATATTGTAAAGCATGTTTGGCCGGTGCAGCAGTACTAGAGCACGAGGTCATCTGCTGTTCATCGGACCGCCCTAGTGCTTATACAAAACCCGACAGGGCAGTATCGATTTGTCTGGGATCACTGGATGGCGAGGCGGTTTCGTGTGGTTTCCTGCCTTCATTCTGCCGGGTAATTTCGTCGAAAGCCTAGTTAGCACAGAATGAACGTAGGGGTATCGACTTGGGCAATGATAAAAGTCCGCCCAATTGGGTTGTCAACCCTCGCGTCAATCCTACTTCGTAGGTGACATGCATGTACAGTAAATGGGCTAACTTATGAAATGTCAACCGAAATTCCGAAATGTGTTTTCGTTTCGAAAAGATTAATTCAGTAGGGTTGTAAAACTTATCAGTCCGCAGCGTAATTCTATAATAATCCAGTTACCTCAGGATGCTGGCTTTTGAACGAACGTCCTTCCGGCTGCATATAAAAACTATAGTCTGTAAAAAATGACAACTTAAGTGGCATGCATTTTCTCATTGATTTTCAATGGCCTTAAAAACTCAATCATATTTCATGGAAAACATGCATAAAAATATTCATTCTCTTACTCATTCGGCAAAAAATTACATCTTCTTTTAATTTTATGCTCGAAGGAGAGACATAATTCGGCTTTAAAAAAGTTTCTAATTGTGAGACTTTTAAATACCGTGAAATGGCCGTTCATAAAACGTCCTGTCTCTGCCTTTACCAATGTGGCTTGTAAATTTAACAATATTGCTTAAATCCAATGCTAACTTTTATGAACTCCATATGGTCTCCTCTTAATGCCGTAGAGAAATGTGTGGTTTTCCGTACGCGAAAAATACATGACTTGTAGTTTGGAAACCCTGAAATCAATTGTGACGGCAGAGGGGGTTCAAAATTATTCGGGAATTAGAAAAGTCTTTGAAAACCAAATAATTCCCTTCCTTCCAGTGTAAAATTGGAAGACGACGTAATCTGCTACCGAATGAGCGTAAGAATGAATATTTTTATTCATGTTTTCCGTGAAATGTAATCGGCCTTTTAAGGGCATTGAAAGTCAATGATAAAAATGCATGCAACTTAAGTAGCCATTTTTCACAGAGTATAGTTTATGTATTCAGCCGGAAAGACGTTCGTTCGAAAGCCAGCATCCTCAGGTAACTGAGTTATTATAGAATTATACTGCAGATTGATTAGTGTTATAATCGTGCTTAGTTAATCTTTTCAGAACGAAAGGGTATTTCGGAATTTCGGTTGACATTTCATGAGTTAGCCCAGCTACTGTTAATGTTCTGCCACCTTTTAAAACACTAGATGAATTAAGAAGACTGGAATAAATATAAGTCGATAGCTTTCCCAGTTTCCCCAACTCCGTGACACTCCGCTTCTGCTAGTGTTTATTCAATGGTTTTGTAGTCTATCATCACATTTCGGAGCAGCTGTTAATTGCTTTTTTAATTTACTAAATATACTGCGCCCAACCAGGGTTACTTTCAGCACAAGTCGGTAATATGGAGATGGTCAAAAAAAACAGGTTTTCTAGAAGATTTTCTTTATTAAAAAGGTAAAAAAAACATTTAAAAATGACTGGACGAGCGACGGCAAGTCTCTCATGGACGGCTACAGGCATGCTTGCAGTCTGTACTCTGGCATAAACAGCACTCACTTCTTTTCCCCAATTTCATAGGCAATTACATATGTCGCCGTCGGACTTGTGTCGTAGCCCTCGAAAGCATATTGAAGTGGTTGGTCCAGAGTCAGAAATCGATCCTCCGGAGGGTCCCATGCTAAGTTGTCCATGGAGGCAAGTGTCTCGCTGTCTGGCTGACTTCTGCCTAAGGGCACTATTAAAAATTATTCAATAGTAAATAAGTCCGAATGGGCATATTGTCAAGTTAAGCTTACTGGTGAAACTAAAGTGCTGACATGTCACTGGCACTTATTCACAAGGAAGCTTGTGGCTTCACATGAGAAGAGTGCCAAAACCAGTATGCAAGGTGCATGCTCACTTAAAAAAATTATTCTCAGAAATAAAAAGCAAAACAATTCGCAAGCTGTCTCTGCGTTATGACTTTGTATCTATAGGATACTATTCGAACGCGCCTTATAGTCACAAAGAAAGAGACTTAAAGATAAGCCCTTAATTGAAAACCATAATTCGGTAGCTGATCCGTCTTATACAGGCTGACCGCAGAGCACTTAAAGCAGTCTTTGCCAGAAGGTTAGATAAGGTCTTTTCATGGCAGGGATTTGAGGAAAAAATCGGGGGTGGTGCAATTTCCTATAAGACTGAAGTCGGTGAGACGACAACTGAATCAAGGGAGGCAGCTCAATCAAACATAGCTTGGGAAGTTTGTTAGGCGGATGGTGGATGGCGCAACAAAATTGCTGTTATTTAGAAGAGCGCGTGTTAACCTGTAGCTGTTGTGGAGTTAGACGCGTCGTTACCGATCTTTAGGACCTCAGGATCAGCCGATTTCTGGTACTCCTGTGTTTCTAGGGACACAAGATGAAATAACGTAACGGGACGCCGCTACTGGCCAAATAGCCTCTTACGGAGCATATACATAGTGCCAGGCAATTCATTCGAATTGCAATATCCTCCCGTGTAAAAGTGATTTTTAAGGGATACCCAGCTAGACGTAAATAGCCGGAAGCAGCTGCCAGTACATCTTACCATAACCATTAGTAGCCTGTAAACTCTGACGTGGCATATGCGCTTTTCTGGAAATCCACTAAACAACGGAGACTGCACAATGTTAGGGGTAGGAATTCAGGCTAAAGACTGGGTTGATTAGCGTACTGAAGGAAAGTGGAGTCGATTCTATTTCTGACTGTTAAATAGCGCAAAGTAATAACCTGTTTCTGTGTCATGTAGGCAGTTGTTTAATTCCTGAAAATATACATGTATAAATATAAGGTGCGAGAACTCATGAACTAACCATGTTTGAATGTTTCATTCAGCACCGGTTCGTTGACGACTCGAGAACCTTGCGCATTTGTCTTCTGGCAAGAGACGCCGGTTGAGTTATTCCTTCGTTTTTTCCACCAAAACCAGCAGAATGTTGTCCATAAGGCTGAGCCATTAAAGGAAATAGTTACAGAGAAATAGGCTGGACGCGGTAGCAAGTGCATGCGTAAAAAACGTGATTTTAGAGTGAATTTGTCGAGAGTGACAGGTAAGTACCACAGTCGTGTGCATTTGGTCAGTAAAGGGGTGTAAAATTGAGTGCTTTTTCTGTCCTACGATGCGTAGAATTACTCTTTTGCAGTCGATAGTTCCGATTCAGTTCACTCGCTATATATTTGCTAAGGCTAAACATCTACATGTTTACCCTTCGAATTTATACGAATCAAGGAGGATTTATGCACATTTTAATTTTCATGAGTCGCGGAGATCTGTAATCAGATCTGTTCGGGAAACTTGACTTCTGAAAGTTTTGCGGCAACGATCGGGTGAAAGACCCCAAGCACACACGACCAGCCAAAGGTGCGGTCTTACGGGAAAGCTGGTAATAGGGGTTTTACGGGCGGGGCCTATGTATGCATAGGGAAATGGCAAAATAAGTATAAATCATTAATAAAATCCTTTTCTGGGCGGAAAAGTTTTCATGCGTTGACATATAGCAACCGAAATTAAGCAGGATAATTTTGAAAAAGTATTCATTAGGTGCCTACAACGATCGCGTCTCAACTCTCTGAGCTGAGTTCATTGTAAATAATGCACCAGACCGTCTACAACGATCGCTTCTCAACTCTCTGGACCGAGGTCATTGTAGATAATGCACCAGACCGTCTACGCCAGACGACACAACCTTGTACGATGCAAAACCAAACCGAAATAGTCGTGTCGGACTAAAACCCACTTAAATAAGTATAGTATGTATTCGTTGTGAGCCCCAGATGCTTGGGGGCCTTCACCCGATCCTTACCAGTTTTATGATAAACAATAACACGAGTCTTGCAAGGGGTGCAAGCAAACAGTTCTTGAGAAGTATTGAAAAACTCGTCTAAGCGGTGATTGGATGTCATTTTAACTACCCCCGAACATTATGACTTGTGAAGAGGAAAAGCAAATTATAAACCGGAGTGCGGTCGTCTGCCTGGCCTAGCCACTACAATCGACTTTTAAAAATGATTCATTTTAGTAATGGCTTTGGTTTGCTCGACTGCAAACAGCTGGGCCGGCTTTGGCACGGAAGAGGCCTACGGTAAAATTTCTGTTTACAAAGAGGATGAACGCGCGATCACGGGGACAGTACATGTACTAGTCTGAGCTTTCGGTCTGGTCCAGGAGGCCAGCGTCAGAGACTGAGAATGCGGCGTCAGATGAGCAGTTTTTGTAGTCAAAAAAAGAAGGGGGTAGCAATGCAGGGAGTGGTTTTTGCGACAAGGCTGAGTCCACGCTGCCTTGTTTAATTGCCCGAGGAAATTGATGCGCGAACTTGGAGTAAATCCTTCGGAACAGTCCACGCTCTCACGGCGGCGTGACTGCGTCACCCTTGGCTGGGGACTGAGTCTCGCCTCTTGGCCGCGGGAACGGAGCGCGTGACAGCTGGTGGGGCTATCAACGTGTCGGTTGGTGGATCAGACACTCAGGCCTTCAGGAGTTCTCGCCCTGTCTCATTGCTGGCTTGCGCAATTATCCGCATGCTCGCGAAGTTGAATTCATGGTCTTCCTGCAGGGTGTCATTGGCTACCAGAGACAACGGGTCGCCTCTCCGGACTGCCCGTTTATGCCCCGTTATTTGCGAGCCAAGCTGTCGTCCGGTCTTTCCTGCGTAGTTGCGAGGGCAGTCCTGACATGGAATCTGATAGGCGACACCCGTTTGTTCTACTGCGTCTAGTTGGTCCTTCATTTGCATGATTTTTTTGCGCATGGTCGCTGTCGAACGGTGAGCAATATCCACGCCGAGCTCTCCAGCGATACGTTCCGTTGCTTCGGACACATTCTTCATATCTGTTAGAGGGTGTCAGTTTTGGCAACTCTCCTCCACATGTGCGCCGTAGGTGCGTGCGGAGGCAGCGGCTGATGAAGCTGCTTGGGTATCCATTCCTTGTCAGTTGGCCCCGGAGATGCCGTAGTTCTCTTGCTCGTCCCTCCGGTTCACTGCAATGCCTTTCCGTCCTTTGGAAGAGTGCCCTAACACAGCTGCGTTTATGCACCATTGGGTGGTTACTATGGTATTGGAGAGTCCGAGTCGTGTTAGTCTCCTCTCTATACACCGTAGTGCTGAGGTTCTGTTTAACGTAGTATCTTTAAGGAGGATTGTGAGATAACAGCCTGATGTTTACCGTTTGCTACTTCAACGCTGTCCTCTCTCTAGAGCAAAGGAACTCCAGATAGGACAAGGAAGAGCCTCAGCCCTGAAAAGAGCCGCAAGTCAACAAGGCGGCAGGCCTCTATGCGGGACGCTGTAGAGGAGAACGCTATCGGATATTAATGATGATGATACTAATAATAACACATTTAACTATCAATAATTCCCACTGATAGAGATAGGAGAAACTGGAGGGGCCCATTCTGGTGGGCGTAACGTCAGTCCGTGGCTCAAACAACTGGACCCGAGTCAAAACCTTGGGATCTGCCCACACCCAAAGTCTGCTTGTCACTGACTGATGGTGGAAACTAAGCCAGAGATTACAACTTCAGAATGTCCTGTCGTAGTCGGTAACGGGTCTGATTGATTGTAGACATGCGACCGCATAGAAGAGGTCTGGTCTGGAGCTGCAAAAAGCGTGCATACTCCATACAGATGACTGTTATTCTTAACTACTCAAAGTTCCCGCATTCGCAACAAATGGTCATCACGAGTATTCATCTTAACCCTGCGGATGCATGGAAGACAGTTAAAACTTTTGCCAGAAGCCTTGCGAGGTGCAGTCTTGCCCGCTTCCAAATTTTGTAACGTTTAAGTACAAAACGGCGCATTACCAATGATCAGGACCATAAAGGCTGCGGGCAGGCTCCACCAGGCCATATGCACGGCCTTAACTGGTGCGGCAATCTCACAAAACGACCCTGTCCATCCGGCTGGGCAGGAACACGTGACGGCCATGGAGATGTTGTCTATCGTAAACAGAGTGTCACTTGGCCTGCAAATGCCGAGGTTGCGGCAGGGATTAGGATCACATGTGGTCTGGACGCATTGCATTCCATTTGGAGTAGACATCAGTTCCAGGCCATCAGGGCAGCTATAAAGTAGAAATGGACGATCAGGTATCAGTGAGCCTTCGCATTTGATTTCTGGGAAGAGGGAAACGCAAAATAATATAGGCAAATAATAGCATTACCTTAGGTGTCATAAAACCACCTAGCTACTTACAGCAGCAACCCCTCGCATTAATCGCGGGTGTCTACGACTGGCACACGTATTGCTTGTCCGGTTAGGTCGTAGTCGTTGGGTACCACTTGATCGCCGGGGTTGGTGAGTGACGTAGTAATTACCTCGAACGCTGGCTCACAAGCGCTGTTCCTCTAAGCGGTGTTCATGCACGCGCTCACCATGTGACTAATTTATTTGCCCAGACAAAGTCTTCGCTCTTAGGGAGGAAATCCTTGCACCTACTGATAAACTTTGGACCGGTCAACTATGAATAGACTTGCAAATCAAGTAGTTGTCGTCTCTCGAGGGGATTTCAGTTTCGCTGAACTTGAAGGTGTGCCCGCTTCTATGAATGACCTGCGACTTGAGATGTTGTGTCATTCATCCTCACTGATGATGCTCGCATGACTGTCCGCATCCAGAGTACGCCTCGAGGCAGTTCTTTGCGGGAGACTGTACCAGATTCGTTTGGGAACTGCAGTTGCTTCTTGTCGTGCCAGCGGATCCTTTTGCCTCTTCATTTCGGTATTAGATGGTTGTTTCCAACTTGCACGCAAACCCAACCCCAAGGTGACTTGAGAAACGCCTGGCAACTTCCGGGATGTTCTTGATGCACTTAAGCGCTCGGAAAATGCTGGATTCCATGCAGTCTGGTCTCTGGTATAAATTTTGCATGCACCAGTTGGCGTGGTTGCCCACACAGGCCACGCCGATTGGTGATTCGGAGGGAGTTAACAACCGTGACCGTCCTCTGGTTGGCTGCAGAACGTCCTACTGCGCCAGTAGAGCCGTCTTGCCCAGGAATGGGAAACATCAAGCGAAGAAAGCTCGTGTTCCAATGATCGCATCTCCTTCACTTTTTATTAATGCTTTCGCCATAACGGTTTGCAAGACTGGGGTTGTTCAGTTAACTGAAGTATTTCACTTGCTGTTAACTCGTGGAAGTGATATACCAAGAGATGAGCGCCTTAGCGATCGCATGTTCTTAAAATGCTTTAGTAAAATATCAACTATGTAGAAAAATAACGGCTGAGAAAAAGACCTACTCTAACCACTTCCTAATGAATGTGTCAAACGAAGAATAACAATGCCAAAACAAATCATGACTAATTAAAAAATGTGCTTCCTAAGCTCTTACCGATGCAAGAGAGAGGGATCTGGCAACCGAAAGCCCAACAAACTAAGAAGCCTAGGATAAACCCCGACGGAACATTTAAACCCCCAAGATCTCCATAGGTGAGTTATTGGAAACCATGTCAGGCGGATGCACCTAGGCGTGAAGACCTTCGAGAGTGGCGTGGAGACGTTTTCAGGGATCTCTAAAGTCCCTCGATATTACGTTTCTACTCTCACTTTGTGCTTGTATAAAGCCTAGAGAAAGGAATGATTCCTAGTTACCTTCGAAAATGTCTGTTTGGGAATCGCAAAGCGCTCGTATGTTTAGAATATCTTGCAGAATTTTGTCGTAGGTTGTGAGGAAGTAACCTTTCTATCTGCATTACAGCTAGATAGTTATTGTCGAAACACTTATGTTGTTAGCCTGATAGAAGGCCGGTGTCATTGAAGACAAAAACGGGTTTTTGGAGAGAGGAGGGGTTGGACTAGAGAGAGCAGTATTTTAAAAAACCACATAAATAGGAAGAGTTGTAAACTGGGATCTCAAAAACTTACACGCAACGGTAGGACTGCCACTCCGGGATGCACTGTTGATTGCCCTCGCAGGGGTTTCTATTCCGGCAGAGGTCCTCGTTAGGACAACCAGGTTGCAATCCAACCAGTTTGAAGCGATCTGCATTTCCCAGAGGATACTGTTGACCAGCAATATTAGTCATAGTCGGAACTTCGAACCTGACATCTTGAAGGCAACCTAGGTTAATGAAGGGGGGTCATACGCATAGTATCTTTGCATTTTAAATTTATGCTTACTCTCGAGGATTTTTAACGAAATAGAAGCCTATGGTTGTACGAAGAAGCACTCATTGAACACTTTGCAGCGTATCCATGAAGCAGTTGTTTTGCACGTTGGTGAGTCTATTTTCGATTGTTTTCTCGTATAATAAAGATATGAGATGAAAAAATAGATAACCGCATTTCCTCTCTCTCGTATGCACTATCTTAGTTTGTTATCTAGAAGCTTCCGAACTCAGCAATTAAAACACAGCAGGACAGATTAGGCGCATTTATGCAAATTTTCAATCAAAGCATATTCAGGAAAAATGTAGCAATTGCATTTTGTGGCTACTCACGAAAGAAATAAATAATAAACAACGGGCACCTAGTAAAATTTGACCCAGACGCAGACTAATTTTAGATTTGTTCACAAATGTGCCACAGGTCACCCGTTAAAAGTCACTGTTTGTAAATTATCCCTATAAATTAGATAAATCGTAACTGTCCATTTGTGTTTCGTCCAAGACAGATCAAAGTCTGTTTATTGTGCTGACTGTGTATGATACGGTAGGTGGGCTAACTCATGAAATGTCAACCGAAATTCCAAAATGTGTTTTCGCTTCGAAAAGATAAATTAAGTAGGGTTATAAAATTAATCGTCATGCAACATAATTTTTATAATAATTCAGTTACCTCAGGATGTCAGCCTTCAAAATAATGTCTTTTCGGCTGCACACAGAAACTACACTCTGCAAAAAATGACTACATAAGTAGCATGAATTTTTCTCATTGATGTTCGGTGCTCTTAAAAATTCACTTATATTACATGGAAAACACGCATTAAAATATTCATTTTTTTATCATTCGGTAGAAAATTACGTCTTCTTCCAATTTTGAACTCGAAGGAAGGGTACAATTTGGTTTTAAAAATTTCTAATTGTGAGATTTGTAATACCATGAAATGCCGTTCACAAAACGTAAAGTCTCAGCATTCACCAATGTGGCTTGTAAAGTCAACAATATGGTCCAAATCCACTGCTAAGTTATGTGAGCCCAATAAGATCTCTTCTTAATACCGCACAGAAATTTACGGTTTTCCATACACGGAAAATATGCGGCTTGTAGTTCGGAGACCCCGAATGCAGGCGTAACGGCAGGTTGGGTTCAGAATTATTCGGGAATTGGAAAAGTTTTTGAAAACCGAATAATACCCTTCCTTCGTGTATAAAATTGAAAGAAGACGTAATTGTTAACCGAATAAGTAAAAGAATGAATATTTTTATGCATTTTTTAATGAAATATAATTGAATTTTTAAGGACATCGAAGATCAATGAGAAAAATGCATGGTACTTAAGTAGCCGTTTTTTGCAGAGTGTAGTTTCTGCGTGCAGCCGAAAAGAAATTCCTTCGAAAGCCGGCATCCTGAGGTAACTGAATTATTATAGAATTTTGCTGTACAACCATTAATTTTACAAACCCATTTAATTAATCTTTTCGAAACGAAACCACATTTCGGAATTTCGGTTGACATTTCATGAGTTAGCCTACCTACTGTTTACACGTGGTTGACAGATAAATAAGAAAGGACAAATTCAGTTTTATTTGAAATTTATAATTCCACAGTTCTCAGAAAACGTTGGTGTGTGGTGCATATGCGGGATTCATGTGGATGACTGTAGCAAATATAGTCTTCCTGGAAAGTGGTTTTTTCACTCCGCCTTGATGCATGATCTGATAAGTCTTTAGAAGTCACCCGACACAACAATGACACGCTAGAAGGTCAGCAGAAAAGCCACAGCATATGATTCTTTTCCTTGTGGCCCTTTTCTAGTGGACGCGCCCTCTTCTCTAAAGCTCCTTCGTTAAAAGGATATTGCACATTTTTATTTGACCCAACGTAAGTTATTACTGTTTGAGCGCAGCCCATCTACCACGGCAACGTATTTGTAGGGACAGTTGAAAGCGTTTTTTTCACTGTTCAGTCGGAAGACTGTTGACAAAAAACTTATCATTTGGTAAATCTACTTCGGCAAACTTACTTGACTTGGCCCCGATCAGAAGGCTTAGGTGTGGTTTTGGCTCAGGGAGATTAGTGTCCACCAAAAAGAACTTGTGATTGTCGTCCCACAACTCATCTACAGCAAACTGCACCAAACGGTACTCAAAGCCGTGGATCCTAAAAATGAAGTAATCAATTAAAAACCTTTCACATTCAGATATGAAAATTGACAAAACTCCTTAAGTATTCTGACGGCGCATCTAAGATTCTAGATGTGAACGCCTAGATAGTTTAGTTTGCACTCAATTGGATAATCTACAAAGAAACATAAATTCCTTTGGCATGCTCTTTCGCCAGTACTGCTTTTTGTCTCTAGGAAGAAAGTTATATTTGAAATTGATTGGAATTTCAGTTTCTGTACGACGAGAGTACTTGGACTCGGCTCAACAGCTGTTTATGAGCTCCGCAGATCGAATAAAGAAAAATTAGAAAACATGACAGGTAATTTAAAAAGAGGAAATTCGTGTATATAAGGTCAACTGTCAGGAAGTCAGCCTGCTTTAGACCCCCAGGCGTCCTGGCCGTGCATAGACTTTCTATCGGATATATGCAAAGTAGTGTCGCTGGTTCAGTCCTCTGGCACCCTGCATGAGAGTTTGTCGTGTTTACCGTTTTATGCAAAAGTGCGAAACTATGTGAGTGCGTCAGAGCGACAGAAGCATACGAGGTATTTTCAACAGCCCTGCGAGTAGAGCCAGACCATCCACCTGGCAGCAGTACGCGAGACTCCAGACAAGGTGGGCAGTAAACCAGATCCCTAAGCCGATTCATTTGTTGTTCATGGGACCTAAATAAGAACCGAGGAGGTACAGGAATGCATCACTATTGCAATCTCGCCTTTTGTATACAGTCTGCACCGCGGCCACTAAATTACAGACTATGGACATCTCATACAACAAACAGGCTGTTTTTTGTGAGTAGAGTTCGCCTTGACTTACGCACGCAAGTTTAAGGCCGCCCAGGCTAATGCAACCCAACAGTTTTTACCGCCTGATAACCAGAGATTCAACGATATATGCAGACTAATAGACAAGACACTAGACTAGTATCAAGAGGCATAAACACCTAAGATGGAACAACCTTACCGTCAATACTCCTCGCCTACCAAATACTTTTTTTTATTAAGCTGACTAGCAGACAACCGTAACTTCCAAAGTAATAACTTTCAGTGGAAAGCACGCTTACGCGTCACATTTCAGAAACTATGGCATTCAGACTGCGACTAAAGTTCAGATGTATTATAATTGGTCCTTTGACTGTTTTGGGCTTAAAATAAACGAAACAGGTTTCGTCTAATTGAACTTTTTGGCATAGGAATCAGCAAGGAGACTCACCGTGGCGTTATGCTCACACGATAATGATGCCAGTCACCGTCGGAGCCGTTGACATTTGGAATTTCTAGTACCGTATTCGCAAAAGCCAGTGTAGGCGTCCCATTTTGAAGCTTGAAGAAGGGAAACTTCTAGTGTTGGAATTGTTTCAAAAAAATGGCCACACATTTGGGTGGCTTATAATAAGTCTAAGCTGTTGACATTTGCCGCTTTCCATAATCCCAGTTAAAAATTTTGGCGGCCTGTTTGAAAGCTGCGTCTTTATGCTTTTTATCATCTGTCTCTCTGCAACTGAATATTTCTTTGAAGAGGCCATGGAAACTTCGGTGGTGGCGCAATGAGATAGCGGGCGTCCAAACGAAATCGATCCGCTGGCCTCTTGGTATTGCGTGGGACGACCAGTATGGGCTTACCTACCAGTCTGAACAGTCTTTCATTGATGTTTGACCGAGAACTCTCGTGTAGGCAAAAATATGTCTAACTTTACTGGACTCAGTTGACATAATCCTCAATGCTAACTCTCAAGTACAGAATACAGGAAAGAGAAACTTATAGCGCCCGACGCTTTGATGCTTGTCTGGGAATAATTAAAGTAATCGTCGGACCTCCACTTTGGATGTTCTACTGCTCAACCCGTTTAATTAACATTTTTCTCCTTAGATGAGCCCTCTGGTCATGACTTGTTTCTGCACCGAAGCTGTATCCGGTCCGTTTTTGAGATTGCGTCTCCCATTGGGACGCATTTCAGCTGGTGTTCTATCCGTCGTCCTGAATGGCCTTCCAGAGACGCTCGAAACTCGCTTTATTTTTTATTAATGAAAAATCTAGTGCGTTGTAGTTCCCTCAGCCCTTCTGGAGGTTCTTTAGGATATTACTAGAAGAGGCAGTGGGATATAAAAGACTATAGCGAAACGGATTTGATGCGTTGTAAGTCTCCAGAGCCGTATTTTAACGGATCATGTCTGATTAATTTTTTACAGTGCGTGATCGATCTCATGAAATGTTGGCCGAAATTCTGAAATGTGTTTTCGATTAGGAAGGATTACTAAGGTGGGATTGTAATATTGGTTAGCATGCAACATAATCCTACCGCATTTCGGACTCATCAGGATGTCGGCTTTTGGATGCACTCCTTTTGACCTCCTGCAAAAACCGCGCTCTGCAAAAACGACTTCATAAGTGCCATGCATTTTCGTATTGATTTTCGATAGTCTTATAAATTCAATTATATTTTATAGAAAATGTGCACAAGGATATGCCTTCTTTTACTCGTTTGGTAGAAAATCACACTGTCTTTATATTTTATATCTAAGGAAAGTGTATATTTAGGTTTTAAAAAGTTTCTAATTATAAGATTTTTAAGACCGTACGATGCTCGTATATACAACATCGTCCATGTCAGTTTACCAAGACTTCTCATGAAATGTACATCACAGTCCGGATCCATTGCAAAATTTTATGAACTCTACATGGTATCTTCTTAAAGGCATGGAGGAAAATATGATTTTCCTTGCGCGGAAAGCATACACAGCGTAAACTGAAATCGCTAAGTGCTAATGCAATGGCAGATCTGGCTTAAAATGATTCAGGGATTGGAAAACGCTCAAAATGTGGACGAATTTGGACTCAACCTGGGGATACGCGCTGATGCGAATACTTCCACGCCAATTAGCGCGTCACTTGACCACCTTTGCAGAAATTAATTAGCAAATGTTATAAACGAGACCCTCATAAACTACCGCAGAGCTAAGGTCTACGTAACTTAGACATGCGATGTGCTGCCTACGCAACCGACAAGGGATCGCTTTTGACGTCATAAAATATCTGCTGACAAAAGTGAGCTCTATTGGTTAATTTGGGAAAAGTGCTGGTTTTCTCAAACTGAAATGAAAAAAGCTGCGCTTAAAATGTAGTTCCAAGAGAAAATTCGAAGAAGAGTGACATTTTGAAATGAACTTCATCGGTTGTGCCGCTAAGACCAAACCATTAGCAACGGCCCTACTGGGTGTATGTCAAGTTGTACCAAATATGTGCCACCCTAGTCTAACGAAAACGCAACCTCGTACCGCCCGATAACTATTCTCCAAAAAACTCTGGAAAATGGACGCACGTGGCACTTTGCCACACAAAACCCAGTGTTGGCTGTAAGCACCCCAGCACATTTATTGAAGAAAGTATTGAGAAAAGTTCACAAGGTCTAAGATGTCCCACGAGAGGGATGCCAGTTAAAAAATCAATACTGTATCGGCCATCTGCCGGCATTGTGGAGAGCTGACTGATCACGGAAAAAAGACGGAACTTTCCACTTTAATTCATTTTGTCGCTCGTCAGTAATGCTCATCAGGCACCGTCAGCTCATCTCCATGAGAGTTTTTGACCACAGTTCCAGGGCAAAACGGACTATCCGTACCTTTTCGTAACATCGTGTGTTAGACTGGTTACGTTCATCGCATATTATTTTACTAATCGCTCGACAGCCGACAGAGTTCGGACCCATAGTTGAAGTGGTAGATCGTTAATCTCTGCGACAAAGTGCAGTTTAGCTATTATTTTCGATGTTTTTTTATTTCAAAAACAATCACCCTGGGGTTTCAGTCCCGGCGAAATATTACATGAAACAACGACTCTATTTTTGGTAAATTTTTCTACCTCGGCATCTGAGCAATTAAATGTAAGCTATTAAACCGACATATGTATTGCGTGAATTAAAGGCAGTTGATGTGGCGTTAGCCCAGAAAGTCTCATTTATGCTTTAGCAACTGACTCTGTGAAAAATATGTGAATTCTTACACAAACCAATAAGGCGAGACAAATCATATGCTATTTGGAAAGAGACAGACCGCTAATCCAAGTCAACAAAATTTCCCGAAGTGTCACGCTTTCTGCGTAAAATAAGCGAGTCCAGATATTGAGTAGAATGACACCATATTTCTCGATAACATTTTCGGTGATATAAAGATTCTCATTTGCTCAATCCACCTGCCATGGACTTTTTATTTATGTTTCCAAGGCGACGGCATGCCTGCATTCACTAGTAACTCTCCGACCTGGGGATCCTTTTTTCATAAGAGTGACATCAATGTCAGACCAGGGAAACGGAGTTAGCCGAGAACTAGTGTTGGAGGGTATGTACATTTTCGTCGTCTATGTTGGCGCATGGTCGTAAATCAGCCCATAGCTTCCGACGCATTGATATCGGCCAGAAACGTCAATACTTCCTTCCCATGAATCGCCTTTCCTCAAAGTAATACAACACCTGCAGATTGATCCATTTATTTTACACATTTCACGAGTTCCTCCTATTTGTTTACGTTTGTGTACATGTGGATACATATTTATCTTACAGCATCAGAACGTGCGTCATCAAAAATTGCCCCTTGTTTGAAATCTGCAAAAAATGCCCGTAAACGCGATACTTCATCCTGCAATATTCGAAAACGGCGGCAATAATAGGCCACGAAATGAACATCTAGGCAGGCTTGCTTTGGGTGTGAGGGGAGTCTTGGTGTATAGATGTCCTTTCCCAAGCCATTTTAGGTATTGAAAATTGCCACTTTTACTAAGGGTTTTTAGGGAACAACATAGCATAAAACAAATACCTTTGAACTTCGACCATGAATTAACCATATTTCAAGACATTAAACTCGTTTGATAACAATTTCGTACTTTTTTGATTTTTAACTATTAATTCACCTATGCTGCGGAATATACGGTGAAGTTCGCGAGGTCACCAAAGCCGACCTCACACCGTGCGATGTATAATTCGGTAGTAAATTGTGTAAGGTCACAGCTAGCTCCAAACGACAGCACTCCAATTGAGGTGAGCCAGCTGTTATGCGGTCACAACACTTTCGGATGGTTTACTAACTTGACAGTACGAGGGCTGAATATGCTATTTTAAACTTCGTTTCGTAGAGATAAGAGATAATCCATAGAACTTGGAGTACCCAGGCGTAGCGCCACCATTCATAGTGTTTAAACTTTCTGTTACATTTTGGTTAGATATTAAATGTTTGACCAGCCGTATTTCCAATTCTTTTGCACAGGTTCATGCTATAGTACATTTTAGAGAAATATCGCTGAGCCAGACATACTCATTAGGTTAGGTATACTCACGAAAAAGGAAAGATAATCCGGATCAACCTGAAGCGCGACGAAGTCTGTAGATCGGGTCCGGATACTCATTTGAATGGCGAAGGTCTCACTTGCCGGAAACGGGAGCATGACGGCGTGAGATGTGGTTGTCCAGACTGGCGATTCTGGGGGTTTTGATATAGAACAGAGTTGCGAATCAACGTTACTGTGTACCGATAACTGTCAAGTGTTGTGGGCGAATAAATGTTTCATCTAACTTAGCAGGTTGAACCATGACGTCTATATCTCCGGATTTTTCCCAAAAGCTCAAAGTCACGTTTTCATTTTCCAATGCAGAAAAATGACTTATCTTGATCTGTCCTTGGTACAGGAAGGGATAAGGACGGTTCTGTTTTGCCTTGTGAGTGAGTATCTGCAGCCCACAGGGGCGCTGGCGAGGCGACCAATAATAAGTACTCGAGAAACGCTACCGACAGAGCCTGAAGCACTGGATTACCCACTTTCAGCCTATTGGCCATCATCATCTATTGGTACTTCAACCAGGGGCATTGACCCATCTAAAAGTAGAACGCAAGTCAATCGAGCATCGAGCAGAGCTCGCGTCGGCAACGATCGGTTGAAGGACCCCAAACACACACGACCAGCCAAAGGTGCCTGTCTTACGGGAAAGGTGTTAATAGGGGTTTTACGGGCGGGGCCTATGTATGCATAGAGGGATGGCAAAATAAGCATAGATAATTGGTAAAGTCGTTTTTTGGGCGGAAACATTTCAATGCATTGACATATCGCAACCGAAATTTAGCAGGACAATTTAAAAAGTATACATTAAGTGCCTACAACGATCGCTCCTCAACTCTCTGAGCTGCGATCATTGTAGATACTGCACCAGACCGTCTACGACAAACGACTCAAACTTGTACGACGAAACACCAAACCGAAATGATCTTGTCGGACTAAAACCCACTTAAATAAGTATAGTAGGTATTCTTTGTATGCCGCAAATGCCTGGAATCCTTCACCCGATCATTATCCTCGCGTCATTCAACTATGAACTCGTAGTGGCTGAGCTTTGGAATATTCAGCTGAGGTAGATGGAGAATTCCAACCCCGGTGTCAATTAATTGTTAATCGTCAGCCATCCTGCCGCGCCAGTCACTACGTCAAATCCCAGCACCATGTGGTTGGCAGGCTCGGACAGTGGGCTGATAGATGAGAGAGGGGAAAGAGTGAGATCGACTCTGTGTACTGCTGAACTCAGGACATATTCTTCACCATAAACAATTCGACATCCGTTGAAACTACCACAACGCGCTACAAGTCATGGCTTGGAAGGCTGCCAACTGCCGGGGTGACTCGGTCCTCGTGGTCAGTTCTGTGTGGGTGGAACGACTGGCTGGATGACCGAGAGTCAAGTTAAGCGGCTCCTTCTTAACACTTCCTCATGACACTCCTATTCGGGCAGAATCCGGGCGCCCTGGCTAAAGTCTGGTGCATCCTGTGGGAACCAGGTCGTGCGTGGCACGTGTAGAGGTGTTGCTTAGCTTTGCCAGCTGCCAGGTCCGAGCTAGCTTCCGAGGGTCCTGGCGCCGTCTTACTATGAAGATCGGGTGAGTGGTGGGTTCTGTGTAAGTCTGCTTCATTATAAATCAATTCACACACTATTCACTAACCTGCACCCACTACTCTTTGGGACACACGGCAGACACCATGGTCTGCGACTGTCCGAATAGCATAATCCAGGGCACTGATTCAGATTCCCCTGATATTCCTACAAAATTTCTCCTGTATCGCTTACCCTCGAAAAGATATTGGCAAATCGAATGCAAAACACCAGTTGGTAAAATGTATCTGAAGCAGTGACCGCCCTTATTTAGGTGTGCAAGATGTGGACATCTAGAGAAAATTTCAAAAGTCTCCCATTAGTGCGGTCTTGCCGGAAATCCATAAATTTGATCGAACCGAATCATACTCTGCAGAAATACAACATACGTTCTCACGATTCTCCCGCCTTGTTTTCTTTCCCAAATTTGCTTTAGGCAAACCGATGATCCGCCCTAACATGATTGTCGTATGACGTAGTGAGCTCTTCGTAAGGCCTCATTAGTTTACTTTCCATTCAGCAGATGCATCTACTTCTGCAGTAAAAACATCCCCTTTTCAGCTCAGGGTAGCAGAAAAAAATTCGACAAAAAATATTTCTTCTTCACTTATTTAAATCAGACCAATTGACCTGGTGATATTCCCTGTTGTCATTCTGTCCTTAGGTATTTAGGCACCAATCGCCCGCTTTGCTGTATAATTTCCATTTATCGGAGTTGATTCTTACCCATGTTTTGTCGGCATGACTTCGTGTGCAGTACCGGTGCGCATTCATGGAGTAATTTATGAACATCTACACCTATGTACATCACAGAGCAATACTTTGTTCTGTCAATGACGATAAACTCCTGCACTTGTACGGATTTACGCCTGCTTTTGGTATCATCTGCAATTTTGTGAAAAATGTATTTAATGACTAAGGCCGCAAACCCAGGGGTTAAAAGCGTACTCTTCAAAAGGTTGATCTTGTAGATTCCGCTAAATTTCTTTCTACTGCGCTGTTAGACAAAAAACTGCACGTAGATACTGATACATAACTAGACTTTTTGACTAACCCTGTGTGCACCTGTCCGTGGGTGATGTTGTTGTGCTGGGCGAGGCCACGTCCGGTTGATAACCCACCCTGCAGAAGCAGGAGTAACGTTCAGTCGCGGTCCAGGGATTACGGCAGACGCCGTATGGGCCGCATTTACGATCACCGTTCTTTCCGCAGGCAAACTCGCAGGCCTTGCAGCCCCGAGTGACGGGTCTGCTAGCCGTCGCGTCAGTCACGTCCACCAGCTAGTACATGACAAGAAACGTATGCATAAATATGCTAAGCATGGACCTCCATGGTGAATCATGATAGGAAACAATGTTTAAATCAACAGTATGGCAAGTTTCCGTCTTCTTTACAACAATAATTCCATCTGACATCTTTTAAAGACCTTTCTAAACATTTGACGTATTTATGTCTTCGTACAGAATCTAATTTTTCAAGTCTTTTTATCTTAAACTTTGTTCAGTGCGTCAGTTTTGTACACCATCATATACTACGTAATCATGAAGCAAATAAAGTCAACTGATCAGTTTAGAGAATGGCATAACCTATTCTGATAAAGGAATATAGTTCAATTAAGTGTTGCAACCCTTATGTTGAACATTTCTCGTCTATATATAAATATAGCTAAAGAGAGTTGCCATATTTTATAACGTAATTTGTCCTTTTTGCTCACTGTTCAGACAATTATATAACTCAATTCAGCAACAATGTTTGGCTTACTACTGAAAACGGGTAGAATATGAGACGTATGCGACACACCGTTTATGCAGCAAATGAAGAGCGTGCCTTTAAATGTAACGTAGAATGCGGGAACAGGTGCCGCCTGTATTACGGGTGGCCCTCCGATAAATTCCAAGGGGGAGGGGGGATTATGGTTTAGGCCAAGTTTAGGGTTAGGTTTGAGGTTGTAGTTAAGGTTAGGCTTAGTGTTTGGATTAGGACACGATAATAGGCACTGCTCTGGAATTTGACGCACGGCCCCTGGTCCGACCAAAAGTAAATGTTAAATCAAAGAATAAATATAAAAAAGTGAACGTGTACGCGTACTTTGGAGTTTACGACGATATTGCTAAGAGCCAGTTCCCGCAACCGATTCCCATCGTTTGACCTGCCGCCAACTGAAAGTTGGACCAGAGTCGGTTGAGATGGCATGACCGATTCCAGCGTCAAATCCTGCCCGCAGTTCTGCCTACTTGCGCAGAAATCGAAGATGATGAAGGCGTGCAGCTGAATACCCTGCAGAAGGCGAAATGAGAAAAATTGAAGACCGGAGTTTATTGCAAGAAAGTTGACCACAAAGGTAGCTCAGACGGTCTGCAGATTCCCTTTAGTCAATGGAACATTGTTTGCACGCCCTGCATCGTAGACAAAAACGCAAAAAACAACTAAACCCATCCAAGCAGGATGACCTAACAGAAAAATATGATCGCGGTGACACTAAGAGAGAGAGGTAGGACAATTTTCGGAAGTTTATTTTTATGTATTTTTTCTCATCCTTATCGAAGACGATAGGGCACGTGGCACGAATAAGAGGTTTTTCAGAGATTGAATGATAATAGTGTATATGCTTGGTTATTTTTGTTACCGCACGCCGCCAGCTGAAGGCTGACGGGGTACAACGCATGTTGAATGTTTGGAATTATGGATGTGGCACATAAAGCAATCTACTCACGATCATACCGACTAAGGAACCGCGTTATTTCGGTCAATTCCTAAGGAACATGTTGCATACGCCAACAAAACAAGTCGCTCAGATGTGGTTATGTAGCCGCACCTGAGACACACAAACGCCAGCCGGCTATAATACGAGACCGGTGGTAATACGGGACTGACGGTAATAGGTGTTTTTACAGGTGGGGCCGGACAAGGCACAGGTAGTGAGGTCAAGTAAATGTATACGAAGAAAAAGCTATTGGTAATGTGCGTTTCTACTTTGAATTGTTGGTAGATAGCCGCCCCAAACCCTAACACCAACCCCTAAAGTTAACCCACAACCCTAACCCCCAACCCTAACCCCTCAACCCTATCCCTAACGCTAACCCTAACCCTTGACCACAGCTCTAAAGTCTTACCTTGAAACATCCAACGCGAAAGTTGGAGGGAGACGACAGGCCGAAAATAAAGAAGGCCCACAGACACTGGGCCGAAAAAAATGTAGACGCGGCAACGAAGAAACAAGACCACCAACAGAACATACATCACAACATACAGCAACACCATGCCAACGTAATCACACTAACTCACAATAATCAAGTCAACCGTATTGTATTTATCAGGTGCAGCTATCAATAAGTCATTTAGAATATGAATCCGTGTCCATCAAATCGTCCCGTTCCTTGCAAGCCAGTTTAAAAACCTACCATCCGAGTAGTCGACAAATGATAACCTAAATGTTCGTTTAGACATCCAGCAAATTACCTAAGTTCGGACACCATCCCTAGTCACTTCACCGTACTGCTCAGTGCAACAAACCGGACGCACTTGCATTTGTAACGAGGCGCTATAAGTCGGGGCTTGTAAAGCCGACAACCAAGGAGATAACTCCGTCCTCTTCGAACGGAGGGTCAGGCTACAATGGCTCCCATTGCGGCCTCTATGGCACTCCCACCTAGGTAGGATACGAGCCGACCAGGTCGTGTTTGCATGCGTGGGCGGGTTGTTCAGCTTTTTCAGCCACCGCACCCGATCCCGCCTTCTGGCGCCCTAACTTAATCCTGTCACCGGATCCAGGTGGGTCGGTGCGGCAGATGCAGCGCAAGTATGTCATCACTACAAATTAATTCACCCGCAAGTCACCGTACTGTGCTCATCTTCCTGCGAGGCACACAGAACGGCCGGACTGGTCGGATTCCGGAACATTTAGCGGACCGAGTCCCCAAATTACTGGACCTGAAATCACGGATTGTCGAAAAAATACTACTGACGGTTATATTATTAAGAACAGCACTTTCTGGCAGTGAATACCACGGGGCATACGGTTAGTTTTGACAAACAACAGAAGATATGAAAATCCCACGGGTCCCTTAGGTATTACAGTCCATGGATTTAAGTGATCCCAACAAACAGAGTCAAGCAAAAGGCAATCTAACTAAATGCATTGAGATATGACCCCAGATCCAGCAATAAAATCAGTGACGCGGAATGTCCTTCCTATTTTCGCCTTGAAACTGGTTGGCATTGGTGTGGACATTAAGATTGAGTTTGCTACCTAATTTGCAAAGGAAACATATTTCTCATGAATTGCACTGGATTTCCGAAATGTGAGGCCATTACGTCGAATCTTTACCTATACGTTACCTGCAAAGATTTTGTGTCGCCGTGAAATGTATCAGGCACTTATCATTTTCCGAGCATTTAGTGCTTGCAGGTTCTCTCGGGAGGCAACAAGAATTAACCCTGTTATTTGCTTTGTCTTCTAGAGCAAAACCTGGGAGGCCGTGATTTAGGAGTAAAAAATCTCGCCAAGACCTTCCATAAACATCAAACTTAAGGCAAATGGGGCTCCTACCGTTTGTAAGAAGACAATGTCCACATGATGCCAAACGTTGTCGCTAAGAGTGGGCAGTGAACTGTCGACAGTTTGGGATTGGACTTTCAGGCGACCAAAAACTATCGATATATCCAGTACCAACTTGCCGTTCTGTGAAACAAAAATAGACAGCTTCAAAATAGGCTAAGATGCAATGTAAACTTCAAACCAAGATATTTTGTTCGCCGTTTGGGCGATATTTCTTTAGACTTGCGTCAAATGGCTCCCTACATGGATGGAGTTTAGCCCACAGGTATACAAAGCCCACAATAGAGACAGGTTTCACAGACTGATCGGAGGTTAAAGTACCGACATTTTTTGTGTTATTCTCAAACAAACGGCAATTTCTTGATAGAAATCAAACGCATTTTACTTCGTCATATACTTCAGAAAAGCAAGAGCACCTCGGAGTATGAGAATAACGCTCTTGTTTCCGTGTTTCTGACCAACTGATGTAAATACTTCACTAAGACCGGTGATAAGCTGTTTGTGTTTTATTTTCAAGCTGCACCTGTTTGGTGGGTTTTTAAAAAGCATTCTGTACTGCGTGGGCAGCCGAAGTAGACCGCAGTGGCCGGTGTCGTTTTTTCCCACTGTACCCTGACTGGAAGGGTTTTTTGGTCTAATCTGTATGATGAAGGCATACGAAACATACTGTCTGAACGGGCTCCGGCAACTACGAACCCTGTTGTTGGTAGAAACAAGTAGATCAGTCCCAGGAAGTCTTTGAGATAAAATTCTTCTTTAAGTGATTGCATCTTCTTCCCTACGGGCTCTATCCTCATCTATTCTCTCCTTATACCCCTTATTTAATTCTCTTGAGATGCAACTTACTGTACCGGTTTAAGTAATGTGAGGCACTACAGCTGAAAAAGAGTCAGACTGAGTAACCTTTTTGAAACCCCTAGAATCTATTCAGAACCAGTAAAACTTTGATCAGAAGATATCAATAAGTCTCCAAATATGCATGAAAGACAAAAAAATTAGAAAAAACCGTTGGGAATTTGTCTGACCATGAGATATTCTAGATAATCCCCACGGTTTGCAACAACGATTAAAGTTATCAGATCGGTCGTAATTAGTATGTGAGCTAATTAACCAAGTAAAACCAGAAACCAGAACAGGTTATCCAAACAGCCGTCGGGACTTTTTTTTGTTTTCAACTTACTTACTTAGACAGCTGGCTTGTGGTCAAATATTGACCAACTAAAAGGCACAAAAGTAAGTACTATGTTATGCATTACCTTTCTTATGACTGACGATAAGGTTGTGGTTTTTAATTTGACGAAGGAGAAAATCCTATAAGGTCTTTGATGCGTGTAATACTCTCAGAATCTATGTGAGTGACCGAAATATAACCCGCGTTTTAAAGAGGGCATTGAAATTGTGTTTTAAGACCTAAAAGCAACCTTGGTACGACTCGTGATTTTGAAAACACTTGCCTCTGATTTGGGAGCTGATGTGAAATATTTCTTTCTACTTGGTTAATCAGTTAAATTAATATGTTAAGGGTGACTCACATGATCATGGAGGGAGAGCAGTTTACCCGTTGATACGTAGTCGCGGCTCACAATGTCAAAAGATATAAGAAGTGGCAGAGATAGGGAAATATTAGCTCCGAGTTTCAGCGGTATCTCTATCTCCTCAAAATTTATTTGAGTGATTTCACAGCGAGGTCCCGTTTGAAGCTCGCTCGCGCACTGACAACTACAAAGACAGGAAGAAGATAAAGTTTTTGTTTCTGGGCGTACTTTAATCGTATTCTCAGAAAAGTAAAGAGTTAGTTTGTAATGCACCAAAAATTTGAAATCTACACTCATGACAGCATGGATGCTTTATCCTATAATGCCCTAGACGCGGTAGCAGAGGTCCAGAAAATCAGTGATAAAGCTGTGACTTTAAACGCGTTTTCGGAAATAAACTTCGACAAAGTTCAAATAACGTCATTTAAATTTCACCAGAAAGCTCTGTTTCGAGCGCAATGTTGTCCACTTTTTTTCGAGACCTCTGAGCTATCTTTTACCTTCGAATTGAGTGAATTTGACCCTGAGCTTCTCATATATTGTAACGAAATACTTTCTCTCGTGGGTCCGAACGACGTCGAGGCCGTCGGAGTTTTTACAGTTTGTTCGGATGAATTATGCAAATATGCCAAAAATACCAACTAAGCATAAGTAGTGGGAACAGTTTAGGTGCATTTGCGAAGTGTTCGCACTTTTTCAGCGTTAGTTTACCCCGGAGGAGAGTTTTCCATACCCCGTCTAAACCTTTCGACTATTTGTCACCCTATTCCTCTAGTCCATATTTTTGATCATCGGAACTACACGAGAACTACTTGAGATATTTGGAAGTGCCTGTTTGACACTTTAATTAAAGGTCAAGTCCGCGAATGAGACAGGCTTCCATGCTGATGCGTTGTACTGCTTTCCTAAGGGAGACAGCCACATATTTAATGTAAGTGCTCCCATCCTGAAACCGAATCTCGACATTCTGAATCTTGTAAAGTTTTTTTTGCATTTTTCGGTGTTTGTACGTACGTTAAGGAATGACCAGATCGCCCTTGTTTACTCAGGAATAGTTTAGACCTAAAATATTTCTGAAACTTTTATGACGCAGGACTTGATGCAAAAAACGATTTTCGGCAAATGTTTAATCAATCCAAACCAATTCTGAAAAACTTTGTGACCTTGGTGGGATTAGAGCCCACGACAGCAAATGCAGATCTTGAGTACTGTCAAAGCCTTTCGCAAATAGGTCATAGCAATTATTCAAATCTGCCAAAAGCATCAATTAATTGAGTCAGGCGGATTAAACACCAACTGATTTGAAAATCCTACATGTGCAGTCAGCTTACTGTATCAGAATTGGTGGATTCCATAAGTTGCAATAGGGTGGGTAAGTAACTTGACCCAAATGTAATTAGACCTACAGCCCCTGGTTCAGGGCCTCGTAGCTCAGGGACTTAGACCGTTGCACTCACTGTTGTGGGCCAGAAACCCAGCGAAGCCACCAAGTTTTCCACAACTAGGTCAAATGAGGGAAGTTTGTGGTCAGAAATTGTGTAAAGGTCGAATCCAAACATTAACTAGTTATCATTCCCCCCCCCCTTACAAATCACGTTAAATTGTGCACTAGTGGGTGACCAGGTTCAGAGAACCAATGTAGTGACTTATAAATGCTAAAGGCAACAAAAGATTCCCAATGAATTATTTTATTGACAGTGTACTTACAATGAGCGTCCGTCGCTCGTTACGCGAGTCCCTCCATTAAGACAACCCAGGAAATCCGTATTCACTAGGTCTTCGGCGAAGCACAGGGCGAGATTTAACAGAACAACCGTTCGTTTTAGGGGAACTCGGAGTTGTGTTATCTGAAAGAGGATAAACGAGTCACATGAGCTAAAGGTAGCTAGTACTTACGATAGCGCATCACATACTTCCTGTACACTGCGAAAATACTAACAGAAACTAGCAAAAAAAAACAAGACGTACACTCAAAAGTACTAAAAGTCGTCGTGCGTCGTGAAAAAAAGGAATTTTATTCCGGTAGGCTGACTCACGTCAAACATGCTTCCCAGCTTGCCGAACGCAAAGCTGGTCCGAATCAACAGATGGTTAAGCTTCAATACGCATTAATCTAAAGTAAGGTGTATGGAGATGTCCGGTTAACGGCAGCATCCCGCAATCCTCTTCGTCTACGCCCCCGCAGGCACACAATCGAGAAGGACTTTCACTCCAACAGGCTGACACACTCAGAATCGCTCACACCCTGATTGGCGTAAACACCGTGCCACCTCAATGAGTCGCGCTAGCTCTCATTGGTCCCAACTAACGAATGTTGGAACTGGTTGAGATCACTAGTTTGTGTGGGGTCAAGCGCCTGCAGTATTTCCGAAACAGTCCGCGCGAACGCAGCGATAGTAGCAGCGAGAAACGGGCGGGCAATTATATGCATGCCGTCCACAATACGCGTGTTCATAACCTAGACAGTGGTCATGTGACAAAGTGATCAAGACAGCAACAAGTTTATAACGTGCAATAGCAATCCGGAATTCGTAAGGACAGCCTAGGAGTGAGTAATTTAGTTCTTGCTATATGTACAGTCGATATGCCAGGTGTTGGCTTCTCAACAATCCATCTTGACTAGGCAGTCTTTACACAAGCTGGCTTGGCGGGAGTCATCATCCTGTAGCGATTGCTGCAAACGTCGCTTAACTCAGTCTTGACAAAATCTATGACTAGGGGCTGTGCATTTCATCCCTATTTTTACATTGGAGTCGCCCGTTATTATTAAAATTTTCGGTCGTTTAGGAACCTGCTCATGTAGACTTGAAGTCCAAGACAGTGTAACATCCATAGGTAGAGTTTCATAAGTGTTGGCTCAGTGTTTTGCTGAATAATAAATGATTCGCTAGAACGGTCCCCATGGCCTTCAACAAATAGTTTTCGCATGTTTTGCAAGGTTAGTATACCCAGTCGTTTACACTTTTAACCAAAAGACAGGAACATCTTGCCCACATAGAAAAGGTTTCATCCCACTTCCCTTACAGATCTTTCATCAGGCTTTCGTTACCGTTGGATACCACTGTGAAGAGTCTGTTCCACTGTGAGTTTATAGAATAATTCGCCTATCAAACGGTGGTTTCTATGTTGCATGGAAGTTTTCGAATAAACGTGATGCAAAGTATGCGGGAGAGCAGCTGACAGGTTCGGCAGTCCCTACTCCACAATAGGAAATAAAATTTCTTCTCTACCGCTAATATTTCTATTGATTAGTCGTGCTAAACATCTCCAGAATTATTCGGATGATCTACTACTCTACAATGCTTCGGTTTTCTTGCTATTCTTGAATGGTTGTGGGGTTATTTCACAAAAAAACGATGCAAACAACCTTTCTTGTCTTTCTATTTCAGAAGTGATATGTTGACTTGCGACATCGAGGGCCGACGCTCTCCCTACCTCTCTCTCTCTCTCACTTCAAGGCGTCCACTTTTGCGCGCTCCACGGGTGGCTTTAAATTACAAAGTTTGACATTTAGTTTGTTTACAGACAATGCAACTGCCGTGTTCTGTATATCATGGGAGAAAAAGCCGTCTGCATACGGGCTAAAATGCATAAACAGCCTCTGATCAAAATCTCACACGTTGAAGGATTTACATTTCAGGTGCGCCCCCCAAAAGGAATAGAATGAAAAATGCACTATTGTATGGTTCGCTATCCATCCGTCTCAATGGGCCGGTTTTCCATTAGGTGTTTTCAGTTTGATTCTCGCCGTCCCTGTTCATACGATGGGTAGGATAGGCGCGTGAGCAGATATTTCCTAAGATCTGCTTTTGGCTTCATAGCATCGGAACTATGTTTCGCCTTAATTTACCTAAGTTTCCATTTAAAGAATTCGGTGCGAGGGATGTTTCACTTGAGAATGTAGACTACCACTGGTTAGCATGTCCTTCAAAAGCGGTTGTGTTTTCGTGTATTGCTGTTCTGCTGCCGTAACTGTCATCGAAACGGGCTTTCGCCTGCTCATGCCGTAAAGATGTCCTTTGTGCGGGCGGGTAGTTACGCCGAATGCGATAGATGATGACTTGTTGGACCGCTGCTTTTCCCGACAAGAATTAATTAAGCATCAGGTCAGTGATATTCACTACTTTCCTTTTTTACCGCTAGACGATATGCGGGCCTTGTTGGTGCACCTTGGCAGATGTGAACCTCTCACCCTGTTTCAGGCCGATGCGGGCCGATCGTCTGGAGGCCTTCTTCCACCATCTACGCAGTGGGCCAAACCAGCGTGTGGTTGGAGTTGTGATCATGACTCACCTCTCCAGGTTCATGAAACCAGCGGGCATAGCCGTCATCTTCGATAGATTTTAAGTCGGCCTCTGAGTTAATACAGGGTAGAGGGACGACAGAGAATGCAGGTGAATTAGTAGAGTACTGCTTTGGACTCATTCTGACTTATTCTGCCATATTCAATCATAACTCTGTCCACCAGCTGGAACCAAGAACACAAACATGCGCTCTGATACGGCGCAGATGGTCCACAGATGGAGTCTAATAGATGAGGTCGGTCAGATGTGATTAAGTAGCCCCATCTGAAGGAAACAAACCCCAGCCACCTGTGATACGGGACCGGTGATAATATGGGTTTTTACAGGTGGGGTCGGAGAATGCACTGGCGACAAGGTCAAGCAGTTGTATGCAAAAGAAAACCTATTGGGAATGTGCGGTTGTACTTTGAGTGGTTGAGAATTAGTTGCCCTAAACCTAACCCTAACTTTAACCCCTAACCATAAGCCCTAACCCCAATGGTATTGTGTTCATCAGATGGGACTACATTACCACAGCTTACCAATAGGTCATAAGCACTTCGTCGGAACGAAGTCCCTCGGTGCCTCACCATCTGTCATGGAGGAAGGGGGGCGAACGAGCTCGAAACAGTGCTATACTAGTCTACTCACATTCTCTCTCGTACATCTTCGCTGCTATTATGACTCTGCCGACTTCGGCCTAATAGTTGGTTGCTTTTTTGTGACCTTTGCCATCCGTAGCGAACTTGTTTATTTCGGGAAGTCAACAGACCCTGATTGAACAATAGTATGCGTTTCTCAGCAATAAAAGGCAGGTGCGCCAGATGGGAATTTTGATTAACCTTGGAATTTGGGAGGGCACAGGGGTTTACAGAAAAACTGCCACGACGAGCGACATTCGCAGTATTTTAATGTAGAATAATTATAAGTAACCATAAAATGAAAATCCTTCTTACCTAATAGGCGACTGTGTAAAAAAACAACTATGTCGGAAGACATAGGCATCTGGCTAAGAGTGCTACAGGCCTGACGCCGACAACTGTTTCACGGTCGTCACCGATCATCAGTACGTCATAGGCCCACTTGACATGCTTATATACCTTACTTCATAAGGCCTATGGCGTACTGATGATGGATAACGACCGTTAAACAGCTATCCGTGTCTGTTCTGTTGCAGTCTTAGCGAGCTGCCTATGTATTATATGTGGTATGTGTCCTATGACACAGCGTTCGTTGTCGCCAAAAAAAAGCTGGAGGGCGGACAGAAGGGGATAGAGTGAGATCCTAACCACAACAGTGAGGGTCAAACGCCCACTTGATATACCGGGAGAAATAACATGAGCTAGGGCCCTCATAAAGATCAGAGCAAACACCCAGTATGTTTTAATCAGCACTCAATTTCGCCAAAGATCTGTCTGAGCTTCAGCAAATGTTTTGGGTGACAAGATGCATCATCCTATCGAATGACATTGCTTCTCGGTTTAGGGCTTTTTCTAGTCTTCCCCCACAAAACATTCATCGGTCGGGCCCATTATTTCGGTAACTGAAAGCGTATTTGCTAACTTTTGTCTTGAATTAGCGGTCCGTTTGGTCGATATATCCTCGCTTCCTGCGATTACAGCGCTTTAACCTATGTGCTTTTATCACTCCAGAAGACTTTGTTGACAGCCCTCCGAGAATACAGTTACAGTAAGTCCATTAGGCCCACCAGTGGTATACAGATGAGACATGTGATCATTGTTCAGCGCCCTAGAAAATGACAACCTGGGTGTACCTATGTATGCTATTTTGATTTCCGTGGAGATTTTGAATTGAATATTGTCCTTTTATTGATAATATATTCATAAGAAATATCAATGATCAAAGCATGCTTAATTCTTCAGTGATAATTGGCCTCTGTTGACAAACTGGACTACCTACGAAAGTCCTGTCGCACATTTTCGACGGGAGTCTTAATTTGGTTATATTCTTTAATTGAAAGAGCGATAAAAATTTGGGTAAGACGCTCGAATAGGGATCCATCTACTGGTAATACAGATGGTCTTGTGCATAATTCCATGTGGAGTAAATATGCCCCTGTCCTAACTCTAACCGTAACGCTAATCCTAACCCGTCGGTGGACGGCCAACTTATGTTCGTTAATGCGGATCTCAAGTCATCGGCTCGTATGCCCAACATAAACGCAAGAGCAGTTCGCACATGGAATGCGCCGAAAGACATTTGTTTTCTGCACCTTCAGTATGGGGTCTTTTGCTCGGGATAGTGCTGTGCGCCGTGAAGACGCCGCTTTGTGGGCGATAGATATGCCACGCTGATTTAATTGCCAAGCGACCGCTTCGGAAATTCTTGGTATATAGTCCAGGGAGTAGGATTTCTGTGACACCCCGGCTCCGTTAGAGCCCATGCTTTGTGGTTGTCTCTGGCGTCTGAGACTACTTTTCACAAAGCTGACAGGGTATCCGTTGAGTCGGAAAAACCGATACAAGTATATCATTTCTTTTTTGAGTAAATCCTTACTACTGCAGTAGCGATAGGCGCGGCGGAAAAGCATCCGAATACATCTCCTTTTATGGGTCACTGGGTGTTTGCTCGGATAGTTAAGGACGCTCTCAGCGCCAGAGCCTTTCCGGTGAACGTTTGTTGCGAGGCCGCAATCACTGAGCTTTTGTATGTTCACGTCTAGGAACGGGAGGGTGTCTACTTTTGCTTCTTCCCGAGTAAATTGGAGGGCTGGAAAGGCGCCATTCAGGCCCTGGTGAAAT